TGAGCCTAGAAACCCTTTTGAACCAAATCAACGCTTTTGTTGGGAGACCCACTACGTATCCGGTCCCGCTCCCTCCCACGTTGGCACCCGATGCCACAAACTACCCAACGCGAGCTCCAGTCGTTACCAATCCCCCGACTACCCGGGCTCCGGTCCCTGAAACCGAACCCCCCGAAGAAACCCCAAGCCCAACCGTAAGCCCAACCTCGTCTGGCAGCACAGGCTCCTCAAGTGAAACAACCAGCGGAATTACGGCAGGAAACAGCGATGAAACCACTTCCGAAACATCTGACTCTGACAATGCCGCTATAGCGGAAATGCCTTCTGCTGCTCCGTCTTATGCTCCAACGGATTTGCCGAGCGAATCCCCCACCACCACACGCCAACAGGCAAGAGCAAGACGAAAGAGAAATAGAATACGCCGCAGGCGACGAAGGCGTCGCAAAAGAGCGAGAGAAGAGGCGGCCGCTGGAAACGAGATTCTGGTCCGCGATTAGGAGTCTTCTCGACCCGTCGGTTTGATCTTGGTTCATCTTTCCGAACCAGTGAATCAACCCATATGCAAGACCAYCCACCTAGTCCAAATAGTTGTGCTAAAGGCGAGGTGCCATATCGGTCGACCGATATGGAGGCTGTTGATGGCTGTACCCCACTCGTGGCGATGTGCAGCATCTGTTGTAAGCACGTACATGCACCCCTCTTCATGTTGTCTTCCTACATAACCAATAACGAAATACTATTAGAAAACGTACCGCATGCAACTATACTTCCAAAAGTGCATCGATGTCAATTTGACATTGTTTCCGCAAAAACTAGCTGCCACATCGTAGGTCGCTTCTATTTGCCCTTCTAGATGAGAATGTTCAATCCATGTCTATTCTTTTACGAGCAGCGCCGGTTAGGTCACAAGGAAGCTACGAAGATGTTCCATCGATTGAAACCTCTCCTCGCTACATATATGGTGTGTGCACTTACGTTGACTCCATCGATGAGTTCTCAGATTTTTTCGCATCGAAACTGAAACTATRAAGCGACTCAAACTTCTGAACCACACGAGAACTCAAGGTCTCAAACCCAGCTTACTACGAGTCTATCTWCTTGTGTTCTTGTCGGTCCGTGACSGTAWCAGTATTTCGGTGCGCAATCGATACCGATCGCGGGTGGGCTAGATCAGTTTCCATTCATGCCGCAAGGGGAGCACCATTGTTCTCGTATTCTTYTAAGCTATRTTGCAAAAGTTTGTTTTGTGGTTGYAGAGTCGCAACATACAAATAAAGGAGATTTATTTCGGGAATAACTACGAATCTAATACAGTATATCGTACAATTGAGTCAGTGATACTCGACCGGAAAGAAATCAYAGAAGCTTTACAACGGTCCAAAGAGAATGGGTTGGCCGCAGACTAGCAGTAGCGGTGTCCTACAGAGGCTTGAAATAAGAGAACAAGGAAATAAAACGGACTCCTGCTTAAAGTTCTCCGACAACTGGGACGGATCCTCCGAGCTGCTCGTGGACCATGAGTCCAAGAACTCCCATCATGGCGGCACGTCCGTTGTTGAGCTCAATGGCACGCTTGGAAAGCTTGGTCTCTTCGTCGAAGGTATCCCATCCAAAGTCAAGGGATCCGTTTCGGAAGTCACCGACAAACTCGTTTCCGGTTCCCTCGATGTCCTTCATGACACCAACTTCAAGGGCGGCAACGAAGGCAACGATCTGGGCAAGTCCAGCRCCAGGGATGGCRTCGGGTCCGGCAATGGCGGCCCATCCGTTGGGGAAGGAGTCGAAGGAGTCACCGGACATGTCGATGTCTCCWGGAAGGTGGACTCCGTARCGGGTGGTGATCTGTCCRAGGAAGGCAAGCATACAAATGCGTCCGTGCTTGATCTCGACGTATCGGAGACGGTCGAACTTTGCTTGGTCACCGTCCTCAACAAGTCCCAAAGGATCGAAGAATCCAAGAGGAGGCTGGGATCCAAGGGCGTCTTCGAAGGCCTTGATGGCGGTGGAAGGGGCGGCCTTGTTGGCAGGGGCAAAGGCGGCGGCCGAAGCGATGAGGGAGGCGAAGATGGCGGATTTCATTTTGTTGTATTGTGYTGTATTCGAAGATGAGACAAGATTGTGAGAACAAAGCGTGGTTTGCTAACGAGAACGAGAAAACTGCCCCAATATTTTTGTTCCAATGCTATCGAAGGTTTTTTTTCGTGAACAGAAATCCCAAAAGGGATCTTTCGACGACTGCTTCAAGGTTCAAATCTAGAGATCCTCAACAAACGAGGTGCGCGTGTTCTTCTTTTGCGCGCCTGTTCTTCTTTTGCGCGCGTGCGAAAAATTTAAATCTTGGTGCAACGTTGAATCCTCAAGGGGTCATAAGTCGAAATTAATTAAGACCCTGGAATCTAGAATACTACGGAAACAGTATATTCAACATACCCATCCGATATATGATAGATACATAGATAGATACGTCATATCAAAGGCTCCTTTTTGATTTCTGAATTGTAGTTCGACTCATTGGAACATTCGCAAAATGTTCCGACCAACAAGACTCAGATAGAGGAAGAAATCTGTCGACGTCTGCATAAATAACGGCAAATTATGATCGATTTGTCGTCCGTCATCCCGTGGAAGTGACGCACGACCAATGGATTGGCTCTCTCGCACTGTCCAGTCGTGCACGCCGATTTTAGAAACGACGAAGAAAGAACGCCGACGGTGACACCTTCCCATGCCGACGACAGAAGACAACTACCGTACAGTACGTACAGTACGGTACGTACATCGTATTTAATTTTTTCTTTCCCTTCGGTTGTTCTGTCGGTTTGGTTTCAAATCTGAATTCTTTCGTAAGAAAACCCAAGCTCGTGCCGTACCTGGTACCGTACCGTACTCATGCAGTGTACCGTATTGAAGAAGAAAAGTGCGATACCCGGGTACTCGTACAGTTTCACGCAAACACGGAGGATGTCACCCAACCGGGACGAGAAACAGAAATGACATCACCATCGGCCTCAAYGAAAGGCTTTTTGTTCTTCTGGGGAACCTCCCATTCCACCCGATCCAACCCATTCGTTGGGCAATCAACAACTTCCAACCATCGAACCATCGAACCATCGAAGCATCCATCGATTTTTTTTCGACCATGGTGTTCGTGCCGATGAATGCTTCCGATGCCAAAGCGATCCGGCACCTCTTGACGGCCACCCAGCGGTCGGTGGCGCCTCCGCGGAGCGAAACTCCACGAGCGAATGCCAACAATGCTCCGTATCGCTACCGCTTCGACGAGTTTGAYGACTACGACGACGACAGCGACGACGAGCGCGATTTCCGAGACCTCTCCCACTATTGCTCCATCGATCCCAAGACGGGGAGGGTCACCGAGCTGTGGCTGGGAATCATCGGGAGCCAGAACGCCAACCATCCGCAACACACCACCGCCCAAGGTGCCGCAGCTGYAGGCAACTACTACTGGACGCTTTCGGAGGCCGATTGGCAGTGGCTGGCGCGGTTGGACCAGCTGAGGCACCTCAAGGTTACCCGCTGTGGTGCCCTTCCCTACCGACAGCTAAAGGAGCTGCCCCACCTGGAACACATTTCCTGCTCCGAGTGCGGAACCAATCTCGACCCTCTCGGTGCGGGCGACACCGATGAGGACGGTGAGGACGGCGACGGCGGCGACGACGACGAGGGAGAAACGATCGCCGACGACGACACACCGCCGTGTCGTTCTCGGTGGAACCCGCCACAAACAGACAGCCACCGAAACACCGGAATCGATCTGCCAAACATAAAGAGCCTGTCGCTGAGATGYGCCTTCCARCCCACCGCTCARGGGATTCGTTCCCTCGGGTCYGTCTTCGACTGGATCAAGCACCACCTTCCGGGACTGGAACGCCTCACCATCTGGAGACTCGACCAGCCGCCGAATCGGTGGAGCCCCACTCCGCTGTCGGCCTACCAGCGCACCACCAACAAGAGGCTCATGGTGGAAGCCCTTCTGGACGGCTTGTCGCCGCTTTCTCCCGGTGCCACCAAGGATGCCRACGCGTGCACCAAAAGCAATGCCTGGAGCAACAGGGTCACGACCCTCGAGCTCAATCGATGCGGGCTGACCTCGTCGGACTTTCGGCGATTGGTCCTGGACATTTTGCCGGGCTCCTTTCCCTKCCTCCAGCGCCTGTCGCTGGCGAGCAACGACATCGACGAGCTGCCGCMGCTCAAGCATCCGAATGCCTGCCCGAACTACCACCAAGAGCCCGAACGCAATTGTTTCCACAAATACGAATACGAATGCGAAACCGAATGCGACGACCCGACGTTTTCCAGGACCAAGCAAAAACTTTGCCGGCTGCGGCGGTCACTCCAACAAATACACCTGTCGAACAACCCGATCATGGAATTTCTGGGGAAGCACGGGGACGAAGATCCACTGCCGTTGTCGCRAGAACAAATGGAAGGGACGTCGTGGTCGTTCCCGGAAGAACRTACACCGGGGCGGGAATCGGGGACGCAACCGCGGAAGCACACACTGGAACAGCGCCGGAAGCGGTTGTTGCACCGCTTGCWGGAATCCGTCGACGAGAACCACACCACCRCCACCGAACCGTCGCTKCCGGCCGTCTTGGAGCGACGGGTTCGCCGACTGGTGGAGCTCGAACACCTCCGGGACTTGCTGGAGCTGTTCCCGCKGTTGTCCCACCTGGGGTATGCCTCGTGCGTCCACAAGCTCTTGCGATCCGTCGTGGGAGACGTCGTGGTGGACCACAACAACGACGGCAACGGCAACGGCAACGACGAAACCGAAAACCGGTGGTGCGTGTTGCTGCCCTTTGGCCTGTATGCGATGGACCTGCAACGCCAGATCGAATTCTACCTGCGTTTTAACCGCGGAGGCCGACGGCTGGTGGAGGGCATCGGGTGCGAACCAAGGGCACAGCGCAACGAAGAACGACGAGACGACGGCGACGACGACGACAAGAACCACGGGAACGCCGGGGGCCGTCTCTTGGAATTTTTGGCTCTTTGGCCAAACATTCTGGAATGGTCGTACCGGACGTCCTCCGGTGGGTGTTTTCTGATGCCTCTTCCGCCCCTCTCGTCGTCGTCGTCGCACGCGGGTTCCGCTGCCCAGGCAKCACAACACGCTGTTTCCACGCCAACGCACCACTCCGCCGCATTCTCCAACAAGAACGCAACGGCGTTGTACCGATTGCTGCGGGAAGGTCCCGTATTGTTTGGCAGCAGCGAACGKCAWTGACGGAGCAGTGAATGGCACCTTATACAAACACCACCAAACCAATCAATGTACTTTAGGATTATGTATTTCTCTATAGTATTATTTTAGCAATTTTGAAACGCGACGGAATTCGGAATGCGGTTTGCGGTTTTATGGACCTTTCGTGAACACAGAAGCAACTAACACACTCGTTGGGTTCTCTCTTCATGGCGTGTTGTACGAGGAGATACAATACCAATGCGAAAAAATCTTGCAATGGCGGTTGGRTAGCCAGAGCGGACGCAGGGACGCTGCGATCGATTGCGAGAACGGCAGGATGCCAGAAACAGAAGCAAATGGCATACCTGCAGACCTTGCACAAGAAAGGCGACCGGCGCGTGCGATTCGTGCTTTGACCCGTTTTTTTGTTGGATTGGCATCTCTGTCGCCCTCGACCACCATACCAGCAGCCGGTCCCGCAAACATCCGAGCCAGCCAGCCAACCAACCAACCAGCGAACCATCCCAAGACCACGGCCCGTGTCCAATGAAGAAAACGATGCGAACCGACTCGGAAATAGAAATCAATCAATTTCCAGCAACCAGATTCGTGYCTTCCGGCAAAACGAGGTCTACACCGGTTCGCACCCGAGAATCTCGGCGTCCGATCGGAAGCAGAACGGGCACCACTCCAGGGCGAGGCTCGGAGTTCTGTTGGTTCCTCCTTTCGAGGCAGCAGCAGCAGCAGCAGCAACAACAGCAGTGTTGTGGCCGGGATTGTTCTCGTTCTCGTCCCCGTCCCCGCTGGCGGCGGCAGCGGTGGCCAGTGCCTCCCACAGGCAGGTGTAGCACGCCACTTTGGTGGCTCGCGTGGCTTGGTGGGTGTGACCGGTATTTGGTGTTGCCTTTGCCTYTGCCGTTTCCCCGGGCTCGCTGCCACAGCAGTTCCAACAACCCGCCACCACCACGCGGTAGGGAACCACAGGGGCCGCCGCTCCGCAGATCGAGCAGGGTGCTCCCGGCTTGGCGGCCGGTTCGATCGATGACGATGATGCTTCCACCGCTTCTCTGCAGGACGCTCCCTCCCCGGAAACGATCGTCCGGGGCAGCACCGCGGCCCATCTCCGTCGCCAGCGGCCCAATGGAGCTGGGCCCGGCCTTGCCCGTGCCAGAGCGTACCGCACCAAATCGATCACATCCGTGCCGCTCGCGGAGAGGCCACCGGAAACGGTGATCCACAGCTCGGTGCCGACCCTGTGCAGCCACCGCYGGTGGGCGTACAAGACAAAGAGGGGAACCAGCTTGGTGTTGTTGGCGATGGTGTTGTTGTTGCTGTTGGTGTTGTCGTTGCTGTTGGTGTTGTCGTTGTTTGGGGTTTGTCCCGCGAGGCCGCCGTTGTGGCCGTACGACAGGCCCGACCACCAGAGGGAAAGATTCCCGGCGTGGGTTTGGTGGCGGCCGGTCCCGTTGCTTTTGGTCGACGCCGGCGATCCCCAGCACGAGAGCAGGAGCGCCAGCCGCATCCCCGGCAGCAACGCTCCGTCCAGGAACCGCACCAGCCACCGCAGRACGAGGAGCCTGCGGCGGGCCGCCAGCCGCCGCATCGCACCCGTTGTTGCAGTGCCGTCCGCGTCGGAAGCACCCCGGTCTTTGGCGTCCTCGGCCGCTGCCGCTCCTGCCAGGTGCTCTACCGCGATGCGGTACAGCTCGGGGAGGAAGCCCCTCAGAAGTGCGTAGACCAAGAGGCGCCTTCGGATTCCGCTGGGGCCGTTCCCGGCCCCCGAGCCACCACTGCCGCTCAACGACGGCCCCCGGCCGACCAGCGAGGCAGACGCGGGTCCGGTGCTCCCGGAGGCGAGAACGGTGCACGCCGAAAGCACCAGCGCCGGGACCAGCGGGCGAAAGGAGGACAGCGGCAGCGGCAGCGACCACGACGACGACGACGTCGACCGCTGTCCTCGATTGGGGAGCGCCGTGGCCACCTCCGGTCCCGGGGGGGAGGAATCGGCGCTCCTCCTTGTCCTTGTCCTTTTCCTTGTTTCAAGCCCTGCGTCCCTGGCTCCGATGGACGGCAACGCCGCCAGCAGCACGGGGACCGCTTCCCTAACCTGGTTCCAGGATTCCCCCGCCCAATGGGTGGCCTCGGAGAGATCGTGCGMGAGCARCGAGAGGAGATACGCCTCGAGGTCGGGAAGATCGAGGAGGAGCGCCGCGGTGGGTCGCGGTTSCGGCGGAGGCAGCGATGACATCGTTGGATGTTTTGCGGGTGCAACGGCGGTGGTTGGCGGGCAGAGCAACTCACTCACGATGCGAAAAAGTCTCGCTCTGGCTACTCGGAAGCGAYGGAACGGATTCTTGGCGGCGGCAGCATGTCGCGTTGCCTCTGCGGTTCGAACCAAACGGTTGTTTTGGAGAGCAAGATGTGTGTGGTTGGGATTGTTCACAGGCAACAGTGTGAAAAAGTCAGAACAGCTCGGTTCGTGGGGAGGTGGCGAACGCCCACGGAATCAGAGCAAACAACTCTGCTTTCTCTCCGTCGTTGTTTCTTTCTTGCTCCTTTTGAAGGGTGCGGTGGTGCTGTGTTGCGAGCTTTGKTCTTGCTTCTAGGGTGCGAATGCAACGGGTCCTAGTCCAACTTTTGTGTTTGTTTTTCGTCAACTCTCTTTGTCGTTTTTGTCTTCCTTTTTGTTGGACGGCTCTCTAAATACTCGCAATGGTACGATACGATACTCAATTACTGGTACGGGCAGGGTACTACGTACTCGTACGTTGTGATACTCGAACTGTGGTGAGTATTGTAGATAAATGCAATTCATATGCACGGTATGTAGTATKAGTAAGTCCGGTGTCATGAGGTCAGAAATAAAAATCCCTGGCAAGTTCTATTCTATATCGGGGTTTGGGTTAATACMTGTGTCTTACCGCACCGTAGAACCTCGTTGTTTCCAGTATGTACCTGGTACCGTACTATGAAAGTTGTCGCAACACCGATGATTTGTGTTAAGTACTGTACGCAACGTTCCGAAGTTCAACCATTCCAATTAAAAACAATAAAACATTAAATCGGAGACKCAAATTTGGCGGTGT